AAGCATTTCCAAGGCGAAAAAAAGTGTCCTTTTTTTCTGACATTTCTTTTTTATTAATTCTCATCACTCTATGGGGATTCATTCAGGAGGACCAGGGGGCCCTGGCTTGACAGAAGCCATGAAGCCGGTTCCCATGGTCTTCAGCAGACGTTACTATTGTCACACAGAGGGGGTCAGTGTCACCTCAGCGTTGGTGGCTTTAGAGCAGGGGGGAGCACAGACAAGCCCTTAGCCTGTACTGGAAGAGCTGGCAGAAGCAGTGATGGGAATAGGGTGAGGAGGTGTAAAGTTGCCAACTACACCAGGGTTTCTCCAAAACCACCACTGGCCGCACCATGGTGTCACATCTTTCGCACCACTTGGCTCCTGCTGTGTCACAGACATCTGGTTGAGATGATAAACTTTCCTTGGCTGCCAGGGAGCAACGGGTAAACTCAGCCCACTCCATGTGCCCCTGCCTTCTCCTTGGCCAGCCTTGGCACCATGACCACTGAAGAGCTCTTAAACCCAGCAGCTGCGTAGAGCAAGGAAGTGCTGGGGCAAGCTTGGTGGCCTCTGGCATTATGAGTGGGAGAGAAGCAGGTCACAGGCGTCTGGCACATTCCCCAGAGAGGACAGCCATGACAATGCAGAGGGAACAACTACCATGCTCAAGGACCTTGAGAAACTAATGCCATCCTGCTACCCACCTCACAGGGCTCTTTGTGGAAGCCCTAACTTTAATCTCAACCTTGTGTAGGAGGACATCATCCTCTGCCTTTGTTAATGTGATCACCATTATAGACTTAGATTTTTCTCCTGAGGTCTCTTCCAAGTGAAAAGACAAATTTACAAAAGGGAATCATGAAGTGGTACAGGAAAATAACTGAGCCATTCCAGATACCTTATTGCACTGTTGCAGGAAGGAACAGGAACCTGCTGTCTGACTAGCCACTTAAACGTTATCTTGTAATCTCTTTTGCTTCTGTATAATTTTTATTACTTTTCTCAAGTTTACCTCCATTGTTTCAACAATATGAGCAGAACAGTTTGCCTGAAGCTCTACACAGAGTCTGCAGGCTCTGTAAAGAAAGTTCTCAGGGCACAAGATCTCCCCTTCATTGTACTGCATGGAATTCATGTCCCATTTACTTTCTTCAGCCATTCCCAGGTCTTTTAGTATAACTGGTTATCTGACAGTTGCTGGAGTCTGTCAAAATCAGGATCCTCTTGGCTTGTGGTAGAAACAAAAACCCAGGATCAGCACAAAAGATGGTACATTTCCAAAATGTAACAACAGAGAGGCCAAAAGGTTGGCAAAGCTCGTTTCTGCTGCCTCCCATGAGCGCTAACCCAGAGCTCATGCACTTCAAGAGTCCAACCCTTAATACTAAGCACACAAGTACTTTAAAGGTCCTGAAAAAGTAGCGTGCATAGAGATCTTTGCAGAGAAAAGGCTCCGTGAAAATACAATTGCACAGAAACTGGAGCAGGAAAAAGGAAACAAAATTCAACCAAAGCTGATTTAAATCAGCTCGTCTTTTAATTGGTTCACAAACAATCTTTCTACACAAGTCCCTTTGCTCCTTTATGAAGAGTCTAATTCTATATTTTCTTCTCAAGAAAATCAAGAAGCAAATGATTTGGAAAGCTGAAGTCAAGTTGTACAATTACATATCCCTAAAAAGAGAGGAGAAAAAAAAGTACTGTATTAGTTTGTGCCGCACTCCCAAGATGGGCTTTGAGAGGTATGTCCGAACTCTGCTTACCTTTCTTGTGATGATCTCAGGATTATGGATCTCAAATAGATTAAGCCCTTTGTTGTTCATCAGTGAAGTCAAAGCTTGTTCAATCCCTATGGAATCAAGAAGTCCATCCAGTTATGGGTACTGCCATCCTGGCTCGCTGCTCATCATGTACCTTATCTGCCTATAGCCAAAAGTTGATTGTGCCCCAACGCCTCATGACCTTCAGCTGGACAGAAAAAAACTCACTTTTCCTCTGTCCTAGGCATTTAGAAAGTGTTCCCTACTCCTCAAGTAAATCCAGCAGAAATTCACATCAGTAATGTGGTTCCCCACCACCAGCTGTCAGGGTTATTGATGTGGTTTCTTCATTGCTTAGGTTTGGAAGAGCTGATGTTAGATGCCTTACAGAGTATGTTGGCACTTCCCAAAAGGGAAAACTCACTTGAAATCACTTCTGGGATCCCGACAAGTGAGATCATTGTCTTCAGAAAGTTTCTTATGGACGGGTCATTCTGAAAGCCAGAAAATCCATGCCAAAAAAAAAAAAAAACTTTTAAAGACATCATTTATCCACAAATGGTCTAGAAAGTAATTTCTTAGGACCTACCCCACTTGCATCAGCTGTGCAGTTGAAAACTTTAAACTCTATCCTGAAAGGAAGGAAAGAGGAGGAAAAAAGGTCACGAAGGTCTGCAGAGATTCTCTCTGTACGCTGCTTTCAGACATGGGCTAAAAGGGACAATGAAACCCACACGAGACCACAGTACTGACCTGGATTCCTGAGAGTGCAGAATGAGTTTCTTTTCTGCATAGGCAGCTTGGATGATGACTGTGATTTCCTGCACAGAGATGAACAGCGGGGTTGAGACATAGCTCATCTTGCTTTATAGCAGGAGGTTGCATTTGGACATTCTGATTTACTTTCTATGACCCAGAGTTCAACATCCTTCTGTCTTTCCCTCCAGATACTACCAGAGAAGGTCAGCATTTCCCTTCTCCATCTGCATTTAATGAGCTCTCCCCACCATTATGCCCATAGCCTCAGCCTAGGGGACTCCAGAATAGCTCACCCACAGGACTGATGCTTTTGCCTATTTGTGAACCAAATCCTGCACAATGATGGAAATGGTTGTGTGGGGTGTTGTTTCCCAGTGACCATCTGTCTCAACATGAAAGATCCTCAGACTGGATGTGGAGAGAACAGCCTCAGGGTAGCGAGGGTGACCACAAGTAGCCTTACCATACTGTTTGCATTTGTAACCAAATTTTATAAGAAAGCCACCTCTGAATTCTGGCCACTTAAACTCATTTTTAACCATTAGTTAGATTAATGGTTGGACTTGATGATCTTAAGGGTCTTTTCCAACCTAAACGATTCTATGGATTTCTTGCTTTTGCTTGGATGCAAGCTTTCATTGAAAAGGAGCATTTTGTGATCCAGTTGCAAGTCACAAGCAGGGGACTCGCAGGCCAGGAGTAGATCACATCCTGAGAGCCACAATTTCAGGGATTTGCTTCTTTCACTGCTTCTGCAGCCCTACCAGAAATGTATTATCAAGACATCACCTGGAGCACAAAACCCATCCCTGTGTATTTCCCCGTAGACACCCTGCTAATGTGGGATGCTTGCCGAGGGCAGGGGGGAATTACTCTCCATTGCAATCTAAACCTTTGAATGAAAGGGTCTGGTCCACCCTCGAGCAGGGCTTTGCCTTTGTACAGTGTTTAGTGCAAACTCACTGCTTCTTTGTGATGTTACCTTTCACACAAGGCTGTTGGCATTTCTTTTTTCTGCCTCCTTAGATTCGGTATAAAGCAGTTTAGGGTAAAACACAGAGTAAGCAGGAACTTCCATACAGGCATACATAGAGGAAAAGGTTATATTTTGAGCTTCGCATTCTTTGAAACTGTATCTTCATTTCAGAGACAATTGCCCTCTGAGTGAGGGCCACAGGTAGAAGTTGGGAATGAGCAGATTTCAAACTAAATATGGTCCCCAGGGTTCCTTCATTCTCTCCCAAAATACCTCAGCTAAAGGAGTTTCACTGTGTCCAGTGCAGGTTAGTGAGGCTCATCAGAGCGTTCTGCTGCTTTCACCACCTTGCATGCCAGTGATGGGCTGGCCTAATAGAAGGGGCACTGAGCCAACATAACCACTATCATCATTGCCAGCCTCAAGTGTCAAGGGAAGAAGTGGGAGTGCTAAAAGGAACTGATATACCTTCTCCACCTCCCATGGTTTAGCCACCACCCTCTTCCCAAAGGGGTCCCTGCTGTTACTGTCCTGGAGCACCAGGGGTGGTCCAGACTCAGGACACAGCCTGTCCCAAAGTCTTTACAATCAGGAGGAACAAGAACTGACCTTCTCCATGTACAGAACTGTCTGAGGCTCTTCTCCTGCAGGAAAGATGCTGACCTCTGCTGCTACCAAAGACTTCACGACTGTCCCTTCAGGCTGAAGAGAGATTTGGGGATGGGAAAGACTCCACACCTTGGCCACAGAGTCATTGTAGGAGGTGCCTTGAAAAATCTGATCAAGTAAGGAGCAACAGAAGAGTCAAGGGTTTTCCATACCATGTCCCAGTTTCATGATGATTTGCCACACAGCTGTGTCCCTTTTGTAGTCTCAAATTCCTCCTCCTCCAGTTCACACAAGCCCAGTACCTCAGCCAGGTCTCAGGGAAGCTGTGACAGCATGGAGGATGGAGAAATCCTCCTTGCAAAGCACAACAGTTTCTCCATCAGTCCCTCATCTTCCCCCTCAGGCCCACCCAACACTCGAGTTGTTGAATGAAAGACATGAAATGTTACAACTCAACAGAATCCATTTGAAAAGTTCTTCATTTGACAAAAAATGCTCTGAACAGGACCAAAAGTTACCATCTGTGCTGCCTTCCGCTGTGCTTCCGTGCCTTCCATTTCAAAGAGTGCCTTTAGAAACAAACCAGAAACAGATTGTAGAAAAACAGAACACAAGATTATGATTAGCCCTGATGCATGGGTGGGCCAGAGCGGTGACTGTATGGCTTGTGGCCAGTTCAGAGGCATGGCTGAGTCCCTCCTGAGTTCACCCCCTTTCTACACCAGTGCTCCCACAGAAAATCACATCACTTTACAACTCAGGAGACAAGTTTTCTGTTGCTATCACTCTGAGGGGTAACACTACCTGGTAGCACATACTGTCTGAGGTGGTACCAACTTCTGACTAGGATCACATGTAGTGACTGAGTATAGATTTCTATCTTCTACAGAAAATAGTTTTCCCCGAAAACCAGTATTTAGACATTTTCTCCAAAACATGATGTACAAGGCAAGGAGGGAACCATCCCTGAGCTCACCTGCAACTTCTCGCCTTTGATGGTCAACACCAGGCGCTTATCTAAGAATGCTGCTGAAGCCAGAGAGTTGAAGATATGTTCAGACAGCCAGAAGTAGAGCATTCGGGACTCAGTCAGCAGTGGTGGGGAGAAAATGGAGTCACTGAAGACATCAGAGTAGTTCTTGTACATGACAAGGCCCTTTAAAGGACAGCAAGAGTGTTGGCCATGACCAGCAGCACCGAGACAGAACAAAACATCAATAGCTGCGCTTCAGTTGCAAGGTGAAGACCTGGCTGGCTGGGCTTGGAGCAGAGCTGGCCACCAGAATCAGCCCATGCTGCAAACCCACAATTGGCTGCAGCACAGCAGCAAGGGACCAGCCCCTTCCAGCCCTCCAGTGAACATCAGCACCAGAAAACCCCTGGTCTCTGAGCAGCCTGGGTTACTTTACCTTGTGATGTGATTCTAGGTAGTTTGCTTTTATTAAAGGAACTGACGCAAGGGAGATATCGATTTTGATATCCTCATCCTGGACAAAATTTGCTGCAGAAAGGAAGCACAAAATCCTCACACCAGAAATGTGACTTTAAGCAGAGCTTGTGACTGTTGCTTTTAGGACTTGCTGCAGAAGGTGACTGGGAGTAATAACAGGACACAGGGATGGGATGGTCCCACTCCTATGGGTGCTAGTGCTGATCCTAATACTGCTCACTGACTCAGGTTCTCACTGAGAAATAGGGGTTATTACTCAGTTTTATGTTCTGCTCCTCTTCCCTGATAGCGGGACTGGGAACCATAGGCAAATATTCAGCAGGCAGATACAGATGCTGCAATATCTCATCCCCATTACTCCAATGCATCTCCTCTTCTAGCCAAGATCATTTCTTCTGTAGCTACCCTGCGCTTCTGGTCATTACATAATGAAGGAGAAATGCTTTATGAACTGAAACATGTCTTTCCACCAATGCAATCACCCTTAAAAATCAGCCAGATACAAAAAATTCTGAGCATAACATTGCTAAGGTTAACTTTGCTGCTTGGGGGCCTGGGATCCCTTACAAATCTCCAAAGGACTTTTTTTGATGGATGTGGCTACTGCCCTGCTGGGGCTCAAATGTTAAAAGTTGCATATAAAAAAAATAAAGCAGAAAACCCGGGATATTTACCTGCTAAGTCCTGTACAAAATCTGCCAGCATCTGAGCAAGAAAATTTATTTCATTGCACACCTACAGGAGGAAAGAAGAGAAAAACTGAAAGTGGAAGAAGAATTTTGGGTCGTGAGATGGAGCTGGGCTGGATGGCAAGACTCTGTTGGTCTGAGTCTGACACCATCAGAGATCCCAGTGTGAGCACAACTTCCTGCATCTTCCAAGTTGGGGTGGTTGTGGATTCCTTTTATTTCTCTCACTTCTCACAAGCACTAAAAGTGCATTGCTATCATCTTATGGGCATACATGAACAGAGGGTTATGTGACATACAAATCAACTCTTCCTCCACCCACAGGCAGTGGCTGATCTTACCTCACTCTTGAAAACAATCTTCAGTGTGAAGGAGATGAAATCCGTGAAGAGCTGCTTCAGCCAGCCCGGCCTGTGCAAGACAGGGAGTCCAGTCAAGAACCACCCAGCAATCCCCTCGGGCTGAAGTCAGGCAGGACTGCAAGGTCCTGCAGCTGGGGCAATCCAAGCACAAACATAGGCTGGGCAGGGAATGGACTGAGAGCAGCCCTGAGGAGAAGGACCTGGGGGTGCTGGTTCATGAAACAAACGCTCAGCATCAATCAACAATGTGCAAGTCCAGCCCAGAAAGCCCCAACCGTATCCTGGGCTGCATCCCCAGCAGTGTGGGCAGCAGGTCAGGGGAGAGGATTCTGCCCCTCTACTCCACTCTGATGAGGACATACCTGGACTAATGTGTCCAGCTCTGAAGCCCCAAATACAAGAATGACATGAACTTCTTGGAGTGGGGCCAGAGAAGAGCCACAAAGATGATGAGAGGGCTGGAGCAGCTCTTCTACAAGGACAGGCTGAGAAAGTTGGGGTTGTTCAGCATGGAGAAGAGAAGACTCTGGGGAGACCTGCTTGTGGCCTTCCACAAGAAAGCTGGGGAGGCACTTTTTAAAAGGACTTGTAGTAAGAGAACTAGGGGTAATGGGTTCAAACTGGAAGAGGGGAGATTTAGATTAGAAATTAGGAAGAAGTTTTTCACTCTGAGGGTGGTGAGACACTGGCACAGGTTCCCCAGGGAAGCTGTGGATGTCCCAGCACTGGAGGTGTTCAAGACCAGGCTGGACGGGGCTTTGAGCAGCCTAGTGTAGTGGGAGGTGTCCCTGCCCATTCCAGAGGGTTTGGAACTAGATGATCTTTGAGGTGCCTTCCAACCCAAACCATCTGACGTTTTTAAGTGCTCAGGGACCATCAGCTGGACAAGCAAAACCTGATTTTGTAGAGAGACAGACTCACTCCTTGTCTCCTTCAAGGTGGAGTGTCAGTTTGTGGAAAGTCAAGTAGCAGTCCGAGGCATCAGCAGCCACTTGGTCCTTCTGGCACACTGCACAGGATGAAAGAAAAAGGAAAAATCCATAGCTAACCTGCTACTGAGAAGAGGAGGGCAAGTGCACTTTGCAGACACTGCAGACCTGGAGCAGGGCGTTGCTGCAGGTGAGCAGCCAGAGTTCCCCACACCTCCCAGGGGTACAGGTGTGCCACAATACAGGAAAGCAAGCCACTTTAGTGCACTTGTGAACCTGTAGAAGGGCTCAGACGTCTGGAGCCATGAGTATTGTGCTGTCTCTGGGGGTGGAGACCCGCTGAGCTGGCACAAAGCTCCAAAAGGCCGAAGGAGGGAGTCTTGTGAAGATAAGACAGCCCTGTTTTGGCTAAACCAACAAAACAAACAGCTTTGACATAGAGTTTTAAGGCTATAGTGTCTGAGCAAAGACTTTTGCCTAGTTCATGGCAAAAGGAATATTAAATTGTACACCCCTAAATAGGAGTAATGAGCCTAACAGAGTACATGCTAAACGTTATGACGATGCTACTCAACTCTCAATCCAAGTCATGGTAGGCATCACACAGAAGGCAGGGACAGATGGGATCAGGACATAAAAAATCATGAGGGAAACACCTCTATGTGGGGGGAGGAGACTGAAAGTCTAGCAAAGATGGTTGCTGGGCTTCCTCCACTCAAGACAGGGAAACTTTCTAGGTAGGAATTGCACCTTCAATGTCTTTTACCTTTTCCTGGTAATAGAGTATTACTATTTATTAACGCTATTACACAGACTTACGTCTCTGACTGCATCAGATGTACCCAGAATTACTCATTCAAGCTGGATTTTCCTTTTGCAGTTACTGCATTTAGCAATGGAAATTCTGAACCTCTTGCATCTGTCACTTTAATAAATCTATCTGTTCTTTAACCTTTCCAGTGCAAGCCCTTGGGGCTCAGGCAGGCAAATATCCCCCTGTCACATTAAGGGTGAGAAGTGTGATGTTTCCGGAAGATTCAAGACCCTACAAATTTGGGGCAGATGGAGCTTGCACCTGGATGGAGGGTTTCAGCTCAGAGCTCCAGCCAAGCTAGTCTATGGGGCACCCTTCTTCATGCTTCATTTGGATACCTACCGGCATCACTATCTGCTCTTGCCAGGGACTCGGTTGTCCCCAAACATCACCCATGAGAGCCTGGGCAGTATGTGCAACCCACAAAGCAAAGCTGGGAGGGAATCAAGTCATATTGCATAAGTTTAGAAACTGCAATATACTATCTTTCAGAGCTTTGTGCTCCTTTCCCCCAGGAGCTTACCAGGAAAATGTATAGAAAGTGTATATTTTGAGGCAGGAAAATGTATTTTGAGTCATATGTAATAACCCACATCCATCTCAATCTGTTATGGGAGGTGGAGAAGAGTGGCTTGCCTCTGTCCCTTTCTAGTCTAAGGCAATTGACCCTTCTGAGGAGGAGACTTCATCTCCCAGAGCACACCTTGGGCCTGACCTGGAGACAGGTGAAAAAGTGGATGATAAGATAAGATTAGGACATTCAAACCTCCTGCACCCAAGTCCCTGTCTGTCTTGCTCCTTTGAACCATCCCTATGTTTCTTTCAAGTCATTCTTAACAGCAGGAGATGAAAAGATGGTCCTGAAGAGCATCCAGAAAGGTAGACAATTCTTCACTTGCTGCTGGTGTAAATCAGCATTACTTTGCTGAAATGATTTAATACCAGCTCCTCTGCTTGATCTCTTACAAATTATGAGGTCTTTGAGGGTCACACCGTCTCCTAGCCTGTGAGCACAGGGCAGCAGAGACCCCCTTCCAGCCTCTGGATGCTCTCTGATCCCCGCAGAGGTGAGCAGAGCTGGCCCAGGCTCTCTGCCCAGTCCGTCCCGATGCTCTGGAGGATGCACACACACAAAGACCACCGCAGCCAGCGAGCCCAGCTCTTACTTACTCAGTTTAATGTTTGTCTGGAGGTTTATTGAAGACTTGATTTCAAAATCAACTGAATGAAAAAGCTGCAAACTGTAACAACAGAAGAGAGGACATTTAGCAACCTGTCCTGGGAGCAGCTTCTCCCTGACCACACACCAGCCATGGGTGGGTTTTATAACACCTCTCACACCAGTCCTTGCAAAACCCCAGCATGCTGCAGCCCGTCTCAAATGCTTTGGCTTTAAATCATTGCAAACCACACAGAATGGGAGCATTAAGTTCCATTTTTCTCCTCCCACTCAAAGTTTATAGAGCAGGGAAGGCAAGGGAAGAAGACAGCTTGTACACTTTGGCCATCTTGTCTCCTCATGCAAGGGCTTACAATGAGGACAGAAAAGCAAGAAAGCAAGATGAGAGCAGTGATGGGGCTAAGCAGCACCACCAGCATATAAAATCTTGTCTTGCTCAGGCAGTAAGCAATGCTGCTGTTGCTGGGGAGCCAGAGGAGCATAGCCCCTCTGTATCTCCTGGTGCTGTGAGCCAGCAGCAGGAGCTGGGGCCATGATGTGGTCACCCCCGGTACTCACAGCCAGACCCCAGCGTAGCCATAGGTCAGGGTCCCTTTGAAGACAGCTGTCACGTTTTTAATGGCAATGTGAATGGCATCATCCTCCTTCAGCTCCACCTCACTCTGCTCTATGGACAAGTCATTGACCTGGATGCTAGAAACAAGAGAAGCCCAGTTTGCCCCCAGCCCCAGTGCTGCTTTCTGTGACTGGGCGAGACGAGTTTGACCCTGGGGTCTCTAAGGGGCCTGTGCCAACTCCAGACATGGGAGCTATGGCAGATCACAGGGGCCACCCACGGTGCTTTTTCGCAGGCTGGTGCATGGCTCCTCCCCTGTGACATGGGGATAGGAGGCAGGGGAATGCTTAAAACAGGAAACATCAAGCCACACGCCACAGAAACAGCCCCGTTTTATTGCAGCGCTCCATGTGAGGCACAGCCACATTGGGAAATCCATCCTGGTCATTGTTGTCCCCAAATAACAGAGCGAAACCCAGCCTTGTTTGTCACTAAGCACAGCCGAGTGATATCCTGCTGGCAAAGGTGGCCCCGGGTCCATGTGCAATGGGCACCATCTGTCGGCGACAGGCCCCAGGAGCTCCAGCCCCCAGGGACAGAGAGAGCTCCCCAACCCTGTTGTCAGTGATGTGCCCATCATGTCGGTAAAGCTCTTAAATAATGCATCAGCAGCCTAAATGTCAACAGGCAAGGGACAGATCAGGAAATGTGTCTGCTCTGGTTCAGATCTTTGCTTTCACCAGGAACTGCTGGATCAAAGCTCCCTCCAAGGCCGGTTCCCATTGCCCTCTGTCAGCCCACACCTCCCCTGGCACGGGGATGAAGAACTACTCACTTGGTCAGCCCATAGACCACCTTGCCAAGGAGCCGCATGGACCTTTCCCCAGTGATATTTGGGAATTTGGCATTTCTGAACGCTGCTTGGATGACCTGTGCAGTTTCCTGGTTCACTGTCGGAAGAAAAGTGCAAAGGTACCAAAGGGCAGTCTCTCCTGGCTGCAAGGGCAGGTCCACAGCCTGTACCAAAGCAGTACAGGAGAGTTTTCCAAGGCCTTTCCATTAGATTAAGGAAGCGCTAGACATAGCTTTAGAGTAAGTGTAAATAAAATAAAAATCTGTAACTTTAACAGCTGATGGCAGCTGGGAACAGGAGCATGTCTGGCTCAGTCACCAGTGGGACCATTCCCAAGAAATCAAGCCCAGCTTTCACACACCTCACCTGCACCCTAAGGAAAAATTCTGGAAAGGTCAAGGCTGTGCAGTCCTTACACCACAAGCTGTTGACTTTACCCCAGTGCTTCGTTCTGTTTCTGCTTGCTCATGTTGCAGTCAGCTGTCGGGTCCCCAGAGGAAAAGTTTCTGTACCCTTTTTCCTAATGCCATCCAGCCCAGGCACGTTCTTGTACCAGATTTTTTTCCTTCCAGAAATACCCTCTCTTAGTTTGACTCAGCACCCTGCTCTGTATGTGCCACTGTCAGAGGGGATGGAACAGCTGCTCCCACCCTTTGTAGGAGCACTAATTATTCTTCTCCACCCACAAAGCCCCTAAATCCATGCAAAGAAGCCCACAACAGCAGAGAAACACCATTTCTCCCCTTCTGTACACCAACCTCAAGAGATGAGAACAGATTGCAGTGAGGTGAGAAATCAAAGGCACATTTGCTCTAGCTCTTCCATCACACCAGCTCCCAGTGAGGAACTCCACTAAAACTCTGGGCTAATGAGAGAGGTTGGGGATCACTTTCTACTGCCTTTGAGAAGCTGTGCCTGTTAAGGTTAGGCACCCATGCCTTGACCCATGCTCCCAGGCAGGTATTAATACATCTTCCTAGATAAAGAGTCTCCACGAGAGACAGGGAAGCAAGAAACCCACTCACTTGGCTGATCAATCATCACTAACTTATGATTGGGGTGGGAACACACACACCCTCCCACCCACACCCCCCCCAGAGCCCCATAGAGCAGGCACTTACACAGCAATGCCGCAGGCTTGGTCATCCTGCAGACGATCCCTGTCACACTGTAAGGGGAGGACCCAAACTCACAGGCTGCTGACGTGTGGAGAAGCACTAGCAAGATCCCAAAGGTCCCCAGCCTCATCCTGCCAGCCCCAAGCATCTTCAGTCAGAGTGGAGCACACCGGCAAGACTGACTGATTCAGGACTGTAGCAAAGGCTGCTTTCATAGCTCTGAGTAGACCCCGTTCGACGCAGGACATGACTTGCTTCCTCCAGTTATCAAAACTCATCACACATTTCCTACAGTTTCCTTAACACTCTTCAAGTCCCACACTGCCTTCCTCTCACAGCAGGCGCTCAGGCTGCAGGACTTGGCTCTCCTGCCAACTCAGGACATGAACATATCCAAGCGGGTAGAGAAAGCTGGAGAGGAATGCAGATTCAGAGATAAAGTCAAGGGAGCAACCTCATGCTCTGCCTACAGAAAGCTCCTCGTTTGCTTTTCACACAAAAATATTCCACGTTTTACGCCTCTGCAGCCATTTCCCAGCAAAGCCCTGTTTGAACGGTACCCACGTTGCCAACTGCTTCCCCCTCCACTGATTCTAGGCACACCGTAGGGAAACAGAGGCAGGCTTCTGGGAAGGGAGATCCTCCTGCTACCACTGGTTAAATCCACATCTCCCACATCCCTGGAGAGTTCCATGACCACAGGACTAGGATGCTGTTTGCCTCTCAGCCGGATTTGTGGATCATCTTTGGTTTAACACCTTCTGGATAGAGAGGAACTTGCTAGGCTAGAACTTTACACACGTGTAGCATCTCATCTGCTGTTTGGGAAATGTTGGAAACCCAAGTTCACATCCATTCCCTGTGCACACCTACCCTGCGTGCCACCAACCCCCGGCACCCCAGCTGTGGAGCTGGAGCTCCAGGACAAATCAGAGTGAGGTTATTTCAGTCCCATGAACCATGTTTCCAGCAAAGGCCAATGGAGAAGAAAGGTGAGATCATGGCAATGCTGCAGGAGCACACTCAACCCCCTGAGCAGGACAAGGTGCCAGCCTCCCTCCTCTGCCTGGGAGATGCTCCGGGTGAGCACGTTTCCTCCGAGGAGCCCCGCTGTCCAGCGGCCCCCACCCTGCCGAGCTGCTTTCTTCCTGAGTTGAGAAAGCGAATGGCCTCAGGTAGCCCTCGGGAGGCACTGCCGGTCACTGACCCGCCCGGGGAAGCCGAGCGTCCGCAGCCTTCCTCCAGACCTCTCCCTGCCAGTGCCCAGGGCAGGCTGCCTGCCCTCAGCCAACAGTGCAGCCTAAAAGAACAGTTGAATGGTGGGGTTGAAGACACCTTAAAGATCATCCAGTTCCAACTCCCGATAAAAGGCAGGGACACCTCCTGCTTGAGCAGGTTGCTCAAAGCCCCATCCACCCTAGTCCTGAACACCTCCAGTGCTGGAGTATCCCACAACTACCATGAGCAACCATTTGTCTCATCACCCTCATTGTGAAGAACTTCTTCCTTACATCCAATCTAAGTCTCCCCTCTTCCAGTTTGAACCCATTACCCCTCATCCGATCAGTACAGTCCCTCCCCAGCCTTCTTGTACAGCTCTTTCAGATACTGGAAGATAAGTATCTGACTAGTGTAGCTCTCCCATGACAGCCCAGTGCCATCATCTCAGCCTCTGTGTCATCCTCACTGCCCAGCTAGGAAGCCTCTATACAAGGGAGCTGCACAGGGCACAGACGTGCTACAAAAGGATTTAAATTCGAGATGCTTTAACCTTTAACAGCTATGGTTTCTGTCCTTCATGTCACAGCTCTCACATGCCCAGCCCTCCACAGCAGCTTGCAGCTCATGGGATGCTGGTGAAGTGGCCAAGCATGGGATGAGGGAGTTGTGGGGCCACAGCAGGAGGGGGTACCCCGGGCACTGCAGCACAAACATCGGAGACAGCAAAACACTCAAATGGGCAGGCAGAGGCATGGTGCTGTTGGGTGTCAGGCAAGCACATCTGCCCATGTCCTCCACAGCTTTCAGCAGAGGAAGGATATGCTCCCACTTACTACAGGACACAGACTTGGGAGTGTTGTGCACAGCTGAAGTGTTCCTGGAGCAGTTCTGGAGGAGACGCTGCAGCAGGGAAGCAGCCCTGCTGAGGCTGGTGGGGCTCACTGTAAAAGAAAGCAGAGCAGGACCCAGGATGCCACAGCCACCCCTCTGCCCAGGGCAGCAATCCATACCAGCATGAAGGAAAGGGAGAACCGCAGTATATTGATACACTGGCATTTGTCACTGGTATCCCAGGGTAGATAAAGACCAAGAACCCAGAGCCAGTGTGCTGGCCACGGTAGATCTAGTGCACTTACAGCCAGCTCCCCTGCTCCATCTCTGCTTTGGAGGCTGCTGCTGGCAGATGACCTGAGCTGAGAGCCAGGGAGGACAGGGGACTGCCGGGCATTGACTTTTAGCAAGGACAGGAAGGCTGAAAACTTTCTGCCTACAATAGCAAAAGCGTGTGGAATGTGGAGGTGCTGCAAGCATCCCTGCCCTGGAGTAACCAGGCAGAGGCCGCAGCAGCCCACCCGCCTCTTCCCAGGGCAAGGTCAGGCTAGCAGGAGGCAGGCCAGATTCAAAACTCAGAAGGTTAAATTCAGCTAGCAGGCAAGGCAGGGCAGTCTTTAAAATCCCAAGAAAGGTTAGAGGCCCAAACTGCCACACAGTGCTTACAAAGGGGATGCTGGAAGATGTTTTGATAAATATTTCCTATGTAAGCCCTTATCTGAAGGTCACACACATGCTCCCCACCTTGCTGAGGACTGTCCTATAGGGGGGGGTTGTTTTTCCCCACATTATCCAGAGCAGAGCTACATCACAGTGCCATTAATCTTTGTGCTGCATTGACCCAAATGTTCAGTGTTACCCTGCAGCCGCTTCCTGAGATTGCAGCCAGGCTACCTGCAAGGCTTTCTGCTCCATCAGCAGGATGGGCTCCAGAACCACCTCCAGGACTCAGCAGTTCAGCCCTGAGGTGGCAGGAGGGCAAGCCCAAAGCCAGCAGCTCCCATCTCACACAGGCCATGGTCAATCCCACACTTCCAGCAGCAGCCGTGGGAGGCTGCCACCACATTCCTTGCACTGTCCAGCTTGTTGTGCTGTCAAGCCCCAGCAGCAGGAACCTTGGATTGTAAAGAGACTCAGCTTTGAAGGAGGTTGTTTCTTGCAGTTAGAAACTATGACAGGCTTAATTGTTAGGCAGCAAATAAATTCACAAGCTCTAGTTTATGAATTGTGAGATTTTAACAGACTATCACTTAAAAGAGTAAACCACCCATGAAGGTTATTTGAACAATGAAATCTCACATGGTTTTCCCCAAAATTCTCCTAAAAATCAACCAGATCTCTTCCCTATCAGTATCACTATCACTTAAAAGAGTAAACCACCCATGAAGGTTATTTGAACAATGAAATCTCACATGGTTTTCCTAAAAATCAATCAGATCTCTTCCCTGTCAGTATCACCCACAACAAACAAAAAAAAAAAAACCAAAAGAAGCTGGCACACAGAGGTGGCCCTAGGTCAGCCCAGGCTTTGCCCAGCTGAGGCTGCTACAGGCAGCTGGGTTGAAGAGCAGCCACCCATTTCTGCAGCAGTGACTCTGCACTGCCAAACCCAGACCAAAAAAGCAGCAAATACAATTTTCAGTGCTAATATAAGAAACTCTGGGTGGTTCCTCTGCTGCACAGGCCGCTGAGCAGACGAGACATGGGCCTAGAAGCAGCATCTTCCAGCATCTGGCCAACTCTCCTTGGCAGGCAGGTGAGTATCAACTGGCCTCAAGCCATACACCAGGCCTGGTTTACTTCCACGTTACCACTCCATTTAATACTCAGGCAACATTAAACACTAGCAGACATTAAGAACAGTTCTTATGAAGCAGAGGAGCTGGGATGAGGTGATGAAGGTGTAGTTGCCAAGTTTGGTAACAAGATGGGGGAATAGCCCTAGGATGGCCTCCAGCTGGCCTGACATGTCTCCAAGGAGACCTTTTGGATGCACTCTTTGCTCTGCAATTCCCACCAGCTGAAAATCAGTCACATGGCAAAGACCAGAGTGAGGTTGTAATACCTTGCTTGGATAAGTGCACAACCACTGGGATGTCTCTGGCTGCTGAGAACAGGGACAAGCACATGCACAAGTGAAACAGCTCTTTGGGGACATGGGGAAGTCTCACACAGAGCTTATCTGCCCAGCAGCAACCTCATTCTCATGAGATTTATGGTCCATGAGTTGAGGACATGAACATACCTTTGATGACTGCACCCTCAGCAGGTTTGCTGACAATACAGAGAACCTGAAAGGGGCCTACAAGCCACTCTACTCTGCCTCACCTGGAGTCCTGTGTCCAGATCTGCAGCCCCCAAGCTCAGGAGGGACATGGACCTGTTGTAGCTTGTCCAGAGGACAGTCCTAAAAATGATCCGAGGGCTGGAACACCTCTCCTGTGAGGACAGGCTGAGGGAGTTGGGGTTGTTCAGCCTGGAGAAGAGGAGGCTCCAGGGGGAACCTTCCAGTACCTGAGAAAGGTCTACAAGAAAGCAGGGGAGGGACTATTCACACAAGGGTCTGTAGTGACAGGATGAGGGGTAATGGCTTTAAGCTAGAAAAGGGTAGATTTAGGTTAGTCGTTGGGAAAAAGTTCTTCAGTATGAGGGTGATAGATCACTGGAATATGTTGCCCAGACAGGTGGTGGAGGGCCCATCCATGGGGACATTCAAGATCAGGCTGGATGAGGCTCTGAGCAGCCTGACCTAGTTGGAGATGTCCCTGCTAATGGCAGGGGGGTTGGACTAGATGACCTTTGGAGGTCCCTTCCAACCCAACACATTCTATGATTCTATGATGAACACAACTTCAATGACTCCTCAAGTACACAGCCAACAGAATCTTCTGCAGCAAGAAGAAAAATGTACATCTCTCCCTTGACTTATTTTCCAGCAAGGACAGAGACCTGCTCTCAACTGGGGGAAGTTGCCAGGGGCTGTCAGGAGACAAAACAGCAGAGAAGATGGGTTTTATTCTGCTGCTCTTTGCCACCCTGTGGACCATGCAGCTGGACGGGCACATCAGCTGTAGCTGGGCTGTACTCCAACGTTGGCACAGAGCTGTGCTTGCAAGCACGAAGAGGAAACTAGCAGAGGATCACACATCTTGAAGTGCAAGCCAAGACAAACCCAGCTTCCTAAACCCATAGCCCTGAGACCCATTCTTTTCTCTGTAACTTCTGTCCCAGCACAGGGCGACTTTACTCCCAGAACACCTCTCTGGGATTCCTACATTCTTTCAGCAGCCCTGCTCTGGAAGTTTCAAGGTTTCTTTTTCAATAATGAATCCCATCAACTAATTGAAGGTCCACACTGTCCCACCCACAGGCTGCACCCCCTTCCTTGCCATCACTGTTTACATCACTTGCTGTTTACCTTGCCCTTCCTCAGCTCCTTCCACTGCTCCCACCCCTCGGCCATCCCTGCTTTCTCCCAGGCCATCTGGGGCAGAGCTGAGGCCTTCATGGGGAGGAACTAGCAGGAGTTGGGGATGAACCCCACAACTCCATGACGCCAGGCTGGCTGGCACTGGTGCTCCAAGCCCTCAGCTAAGCTCTGCTCTCTTGCTTCCTGGTACTCCTGCTCAGGCACAGTGCTGGCAGCTGGCTCTGCAGAATTACATGCTGTTTACTTTCCCATTATTTGACCAGTGTCCTCTGCTGTAGTCACAGCTGCACCCCAGTGCCAGAGAGGTGTGCATTTCATTCGGCCATCAAGGAAACATTGGAAGGCCCAGGAGCCTCACTACAGCCCTCCAGTATCATTAGCTATGTTTAATTAGTTTTCCAGCTAACATTAAACCAGTCTGCCTGCTTGTGGGAGTAGCAAGTGTCAGAGATGGCAAAACATCTCCAGCAACTTCTCAGATGAGACATTTCACAAGTAATCCAGCATGCAGTGCCTGTCGCCTAAACCGTACTAAAACAGTACTTCTGGCTGCCAAGAAATACCTGCTCCTCCCAGGATGGAGCTGGGCACATCTCAGTGAACTGAGGCACCAAGACACCCATGTGATGACCAGGTAACACACTGAAGGAAAAAAACCCATCACCCACAAAAGCACAGGTGGACTTACCACTAGCAAGGCAAGACAGAAGGGACACTGCCTCCAAGAACATCCAAAGGCTTACACAGCATGTACCCAAAGTAACAGAACTCACCTCCTCTCAAATTACTTCAAAGTATTTAAGGACCTTATTGATAAATTTTACCATGCTCTTACCATCCTTCAAGTCTCCAGCAAACTGAAAATGTGGCAGAAAAACTACTTGGTAAGAGGACTGGCAAGGAAGTTGTTCAAAGCCAAAAAAAAAAAATCACTAAGATTAAGCTTGCTACTACTGTAAGCACCAACAAACCACAACCAACATCAGTCTGATCCAAAGTGGCAAGATCAAGCATGGCCAGTTAACTTGCTCCATGTGAGCTGACACAAGCTGTTGTTAGCCCCAGCCAGATACTCCTAAACAAAGTGTTGCCAACTACAGGCAGCACCAAGGATGTTTTATATGGAGCCGTTGCTCCTAGACAGCACACATCAAGCCAAGTTAGATCCCTGAGCCAAGATACCATGCTGTGATACCACCAGGAGTCACACCCTAGGCTCAAGGGGTCTAACTCCACCTGCTGCCATATGTCCGTGGCCTTTGCACTAGCAGCTCTCAGCAAGTGAACACAAATCACACAAGCTCTCAAAAAATCTCCTTTAAATGCTAAAGGTTGCTGAAGAACAGGCAAGGAGTTGAGTTTACAGCTCTGTGAGCATTTTTCCCCTTCTAGCCCATCTCATTTATGATGTTCAATACAACCAAAACAAAGCACACCCTACCCTGTGCTTTGCACAGGTAGTCTTCTGATGTACAGTGTATAACAGTATGAATATAAATGCCTGCAAATTTTATTGGAATCAAAGCCCTTAATCATCTCAGAAATTGAAGGGAACACAAAGTAACACAAGAGCTGCTCTGAAGTGAGAACACAAGGCTGAACACAGCTGTGACTGCTTTAAGGCTGCATCCACAAGCAGTGAAGAAGTTTCCATCTTGCAGAAATTCTTGCTAGGCAGAGCTGACCACACTTCTCCCATGATTTGGCAGAGGACAGAAATTAAGTTTAAACTCAAGTTTAAACTGTCTGAACTTGGCAACATGAAGTTTAGCAACTCCACTGAGGTAACGGTTTATCAAGAAGTCACAGTCCTCCACTCTCCAACAAGGAAATTGCACCATACATCCTTCAAAGAAAAACATTTACACAGAAAATTTAAACCATCATTGAAGCAATTTAACAGTAGATCCTTCCTAAAAATCTGCTAATATGTATCTAGCAATTTTTTTTTTAGATCCTACACTCGGTGTAATTTAGTATTTGAAACATTCCAACAGGAATCACATTGGACAGAAGCAGCAATTTGCTTCTCTAACATTTTTGCACATCAGCTTAGAGCCTGTGCATTTAGTGCACAAGTTCACAAAGCCAAGCCTCTACATGGGTACTCAAATGCTATGGGACAGTTCTTTGGAATGAGGGCGAGCATCTCAGTCTCCAGGCTGTAATGCCCTAAGGCTTCTCACAGCTTCATGTGCTAGGCCAGTGAAAGCTGGAGGAAGCACCATCCACTTTCACTCCTGGTTTGGAGCTGGTATCCAGTTCAGGTAGACAAAAGCCCACTGCAGTTTCAGACAAGCAAGCTGGTGACAAGTCAGTTGCGGGTCACTCCAGGCCCTTCGGGGAGGAGGGACGCAAAAAAAGTCTTGAAAAAAACCCACGCTGTGCTCATAAATGAGGGATTAGCCTGCTGCAGTTCCTGTAGACCTCGTCCATCAGGAGATGCCTCGGATTCACCCGCTCTGCCTGCATTTCCCCCCTGCCAAAATAAAGGTAAACAAGATCATTCCATAGAAGAATCAGGTGTCAAACAGCACAGTTTGTTCCTAAATGTCACTGACAGAATATAAAAAGCTCAGAAGAATCCCCAGACAACTACAAAGTCAAAAAAACAAAGCTGCACACTGGTATTACTGGTTAACTCACGCTGTGTCCAAAAGCCCCAATGAGGGCAGACAGGAAGCACAAGATCAGTTGAACTCTGTATTTACAACTCATTAACTTTCACTGACATCAGCCAGGAGTGCCAGCTTGGAATGTGAGGCTCAGCCAGCTGACCAGCTCAGACCCCACCACTGCGGCACCAGGATAAACTGTCTTCAGCTCCAGAACCTGTTCAGCCTGTGACAAGCCACTCTCCATTACAACATCCCAAAGGACAGCTGCAACTAAAAGAACTAAAACAATCAGCCTGAAATATTTTGTAGAACAGAGGAACTGTGTACACCAAAGGAAGACTCAGGCTTACAATGATTCCCCTGCAGAACAGAGTTTCTGACAGAAGCTTAGAGAAGTTTTTGCTACTATGTGTAATTGGTAAACTGGAAGTAAAGCTTCACAGGGTATCCTGCTCAAGATTTTAAAAAGAAAAAAAAAAACACAGCTAGATTATACCTGTAAGTTATTGTTCTGGTCCTGGTTTACAGCAGCTTGAGGAGCAACGTTGGCTGGGAAGGGCTGGACTGGTCTTCGTCTAAATGGAAGCCACCCAACATGGTGCCTGGGGAATAACAGATTTGTGTTAATACTGCTGTAACATTCCTCCTTCCTGTAACACCCAACTGCTCAGAGCCACAGGCAAGCATTAGGGGCTTTCTGCCCTGGCCCAGTAAGGGCTGTCAGAGCCTCCTGTCAGCAGCAGGCTTAGGTAGAATAGGAAGTCTGAGCTGCCTGCAAAATAAACATCCAGGTTTGTATCTAGGATGCTGCTAGAGGCAAAGAGCCTGCTCATCTCCCATGCTAGGGACAACCCAGAGTAACTCTACTCACCTGAAAATAGGGCACAGCAAACATAGCACAGTACTATCTTACCAGAACATAAGAGGCCATACAGACCTTCTTGGAAGGTCTGTAACCCTACAGCACCTGGACCTTGTAACCCACAACATAAGCTGTTCAAACTGACACTTCAGAATTATTAATAGTAAAATTTAAGGACTTCATGAAGCAATTAACCTTCAGTCTCCCAGTCTGCCCAGTGGCTGGAATATCTATCATTTGAGCTGCTCCAGTTTCAACTCCTAGACCTACCCGCAGGGATTCATCACTGCTTACATTATTTGTTTCACTGGCAATCTGAGGACTCGAGAGAACAATTATCCTTCTCGGACAAGACATCCCAAGCCTGGCAGCTGAGGACCCATTCATTATCCTTATTGCTCTTCCAGGATTTATCCCAAGTTTACCCCACCCCTAGAGAGGCTCAAAGGCAATTCAGGACACTGCATTCAGCTTAGCTTGGCCTGCCCTCCAGAACACACAGAAGAACCTGCATGGGTTTAAATGACTCAGATCACAGGTAGGAGACCCTCTTCACAGTCTTCAAACACTTGTTTCCCAACAAGCAACTGTTATTTACTACCTTGAACCTACAGGTCTGTACTCTGCACCGCCAGCCTGCTGGGGCTTCAAACCCAGACCAACTTAAGTTTTGAGCAGTTTTCTAAAAGAAAAGCTCAGCCACACCAGAAGCCTTGGTACAAACACCAGGTTAGACCACCTGCCATCACCCATTCTTCATTTAATCCAGGCTAAGTTATATTTTTGCTGAATACTGAGTTACAGCAGGATGGAGGAGTGGTTCACCCTTTCCAGGTACAAGAGCCACATAAAGCTCCACCACCTAAAGCTGACCACTTCAGTGGGACATTCCTGAGCACAGCAGTAAATATTAACACCATGCACTTACAGATACATCAGAACAGTGCCACCCATGACCAGGAGGAATCTGCTGACACTGGAGTAGAAATAGATGATGTTGACAAACACATAAAACAGTGTTGCTGAGTAGAGCCAGTCCAGCCAATCTCGATTGCCACCCTCTTCTTCCTCCATGAGGGGACCTCCTTGGGCATTCATCTGCAAGTTCTGGTTGGCTGCCGCATCGACCTGGGCAGCAGCATTCTGGTTTCCAGGCTGGTTTTGTGCAGGAAATGGGTCTGGGAGAGGAGCTGGAGGTGTCACTGGTGCCACGGGTATCTCCTGAGAACATTGTGCATGGGATGAGTCAGCAGATGCAGTAGAAGCCAAGCTGAAACCAGAGGACACAAAGCACAATAAGGCTCAGTCAAATCTTTTCACATTTGACACAGGCACTGAGAAATTGTCCATCTTTAAGCAGAGTCAGTTCACACACAAGTAGAAAGCATCAAGTTTAGAGGCTACAGAAGGGTTAACAAGTTCTACCTATGACAACAGTTGCATAGTGACTTCAAGTCAAATCAGGCACCTTTCCATTTTACAATCAAATATTTCAACACTTTGCAAAAATATTCCTCAGAGCAATCTAAAGGTAGTCTAGAAGGCTTTCCCAAGTCTTAGCTTTACCACTGTCACTGACTTCCATTCAGTGCTCTGTGTGCTACTTATAGCAGTCAAAGGAAACAGTGACAAGTCAAGACTCATCAGCAGGATTCCATTTACTCTACAGACACCTGCCCTCCCAAAACAGTCAGATCTCTAGCTTGGAACATTGAAAGCCTCTCGCCTAAGCAGTAAGCCAAGCACCACAGGAGTCAGAGATACAATGCCACACCATTCAGTGTTAGTTACAACAAGAAGTCTTCCAACCACCATCAGAGGAAGAACTGCCAGAAACTCCATTTCTTTGTAGTACAGTAGTTTTGGACAGGAAAACTTACTATTGCAAGTAATATTGTCGTGCATAAATCTGCTGAAACCAGGACATCTGGAGCATGCTGTAGGTTGCATAAGCAGAGAAGCCAGGAGCCACACTTTGGAATGGATGTTGAGTTGTTTCCAGCCTGGGTCAAAATTTTAACACATTCATTAGCACATACCGGACAAATTACAAAAATAATTTATTACAGGACAACAAACAGCTTCTGCCATTCTGTGCACCCAAATGCTAAATTAATTCCTTCCTTCTGGAGTATTAAAGATGTCTTTACCCCATGAATAAATGGAAGGCTTTCAGCTAAGAGCAGGACATTTACCTTTAGGTTATTCCATGCCCACATTCTATGCACTTATGAGAGTATACGTGGCATCAGGATCTGGCATCCAACAGAGCCAATATTTTAAAAAATATCTAATTGATGTACATAAAACTTGTATTTACCTGTTACTGGCTTCTGCTGAAGCCCGACCACCAGAAGAGCATCTCAGTCTTTCACTGCTTGAGGAAGATACAGACTGTTCTTGACTAGCTCCTGACAACAGTACTGGCTGAGCAGCTCTAACCTAGGGACAGCAAGGCAGCTCGTGAGGCTTGCTCAGGACAAGACAACCCTTACGCAGAGGTTACGTCACACACAACACGCTCCTGTTTTGTAACTGCTACACAGCTCGTGCACTTTGCCCTGCACGGTCCCTCCAGGTGCTGCCACAGTGCTGACACTGCTCCTGGGCACCACGAGCAGCTCCAGCAGCATTTTAAAGCTCCTTAAAAAAATGCCTGGCATTTGGAACTGACTTGGTATCACTCTTCACTTCCACTAGATCTACACCTGTATTTATTAACTTTTATGCACATAGGCAGGTCTCATCTGGTTATAAAAGTGTAATTGGAAGAAGCAGAGAAGTGCACTCCAGACAGTGTGACTTTTTAGCTATAGTAAGTTTGTACTTGCATACACAACTGCTGTACACACAATTCAAAGCCAGATGACACTCTGTGGTGATGCACCTGTATAATATCCAGACCAAAGCAGGCTCACATCTAGCAACCATCAGCCATGGGTAGAACAAGCTCAAACTGCCTGTAACAGGGACTATAAACACACCTCTAGACACATGAGCTCATCCACTTGAAAGCAGATTTGTAACTGCCACACAGTTTGTGCACTTTGCCCTGCACAGTCCCTCCAGGTGCTGCCACAGTGCAGGTTTGGGCCATTGGCACTTCAGACTAGTAAGTACTTGGCTCAAGGACCAAGGCTTATCCTTGCCTGGTACTCCACAGGCTGAGTCAGTAACAAGCAGCTGAAGTGTCTTCAGCCAACAGCTTCTTCCTTCCTCACACCCCGATGTACAGATCGGAACCATTTCCACTCTAACCACACCTTCTGCTCTGTCCAAAAGAGCCTGGGACATGACAAGTCCTATTTTGGTTTGTAAGATTGCATTTACCAGAAAACATTTCTCCTGAGCACTGTTAAAGCTAGATCAGAGATTTGGTATTTAGCAGATGTCATGACAACCTTTTACTGACAAAGTGAAGAATAATACTTCACTCAGCATAATCCAAATACATTCTCACATCCCTAAACACATTACCACAAAGCAACTCTGACATTGGAAAGTGGGAGAAATTTGCAGTATCAGCTAACTTCAGCCCTTCCACACTTCCCATTTCCACTCACAACCTCAAAACTCAGAATAGTAAGGGAACTTTGTGCAAGTACCTCTTCAGGTGTTTCTTGCACATCTGCAGGAGTCTTCCAGTTGTACACCAGGTGCAGAGCATGCAGCTCCCCATGCTAAAATGTAAGGGAAGACGTGTTAAAAAAACAGCTTTTCTTGATATATTTCAGCACATTATATCACAAAAGCCTCTGTTTATATACCTTTGGCAGCAAGTCTCTCAGATAATGGTGATCCAGCAGCAGCTTTCCAGCATAAATCAGCTTTTGGTCTGCTTCAGGCTTTGAAGAAAAAGAAAAAATAAGGACCAGGATGACTTGCTCTGCCAATCACAGGAAAGCATCAGCTGACCTAGCTTGCAGCAAGATGGACAGAGACACGACAGCTTGAAGCACCCCACATGTCCAGGTGCACAGGGAACTGCACACTTTTAAATTCAGCTAATGAAACGAGAACAGCTAAATGCTGAAGTGCAAGATTGCCAACTTCCACACCAGCAGGAGGGTATGAATAATCATCACAGAATCATTAACATTGAAAAAGACCTCCAAAATCACCAGGTCCAAACATCAACCCAACACTACCACAACCACTAAATCATGTCCCCAAGTGCCACGTCAACACATTTTTTGAACCCCTCCAGGGATGGGGACTCCAGGTGGCAGCTGGGTCAAACACCTCACCACTCTTGCAGAAAAGAAATTCCTCCTAACACAAAAACCTCCCCTGGTGCAATTTAAGCCCAGTTCATCACATCTCATCACTAGTTACTCAGGAGAAGAGACCAAACCCCATCTCCTCCAGGGAGTTGTAGAGTGCAATAAGGTGTCCCTTCAGTCTCCTTCTCCAGACTAAACACCCCCAGGTCCCTCAGCCACTCTT